ATATATATATATATATATACACACACACACACATATATACACACACATATACACATATATATATATATATATATATGTGTATATGTGTGTGTATATATGAGTTCTTCTGCCGGTGCTCATGTACAGCAGAGGGCAAGGGGAGGACAGGGGAGTGCCTCCAGTCCGTTGTGTTGACTCACATCATTCCCACGTGATTTACAGGAAACTGAGGCTATGCTGGGTTCATGATCTATGGATAAACTGTGGGGGAAATAAACAGCTCCACCCAGCTCTGTTATCAGCTCTGAGGACATATCAGACATATCTTATCTGAACATGAAACCTGCTCCTCAGACATGAGTCCTGCAGTTAAACTATCTCTGACAGAAGACAGAGGCGCTGCGGTCTAAAGGCATGTGATACAGCTGACGTTATGTAACCTAAAAGACTGGCAGCTGGAACTGCAGCAAAAGCTGGTTCTACAAAGTATTGACTCAGGGGGCTGAATAATTACTCACACCCCACTTTCAGTTATTGATTTGTAAAACATGTTTGGAATCATGTATGATTTTGTTCCACTTCTCACGTGTTCACCACTTTGTGTTGGTCTTTCACCTGGAAGTCCAATAACATTGATTCATGTTTGTGGCTGTAATGAGACAAAATGTGGGAAAGTTCAAGGGGCCGAATACTTTTGAATCCACTTGTAATTTGTCGGTTTAACAGTTTCTGCCTGTCACTGTTCCCCGTCTGTTTTCTTCCCTGGTTCTTCCTGACCTTTCACTTTCTCCTCACGTTCCCTCTTTGCACTGACAATCATACACAAATAGATTGTCTTCAATTAGATTAAAAAATGACATTAATATGGAAAAAAACCTATTAAGGGCTGGGCCATATCATACCGTTCACGGGAACACCAGTATAATGTTGGGCAACAATAAGAAAGTAAAATATGTTGATAGAATATGGGTAAAATGCCAGTGCCTTTGTTTTCATACACACAGAAAAAGCAGATCGTTGAATGAAACGATGAAGCAGAACTGGTTTGTAAAAATGCTGCAGCTTCACTGGTGTGGAACTGGTTTAGCTTTCATCCGTCAGATACACAGCAGTGACAAATAAAGCTTTGATTGATTGATAGATTGATTGATTGAACAAAGCACAGTTTTTGGTAGAGCACATGCTAGCGGGCCAAATAACCTGGGCCTGCACGGCGTCAATGCATTAGCCGCATGCACGGAGCGAACCACGTTAACTCGCTAACGGAGATTTGCTGCATTAACGCTGTTATGGCGTTATATTATACATATTTATGCTGAGGATGTGTCGGCCAGTTTCCATTGGAAACGCCTTTTGGTTAAACTGTCAGCGAGGAATTTGCACTGTTGAATTTTTATAACTTTAATGCACATAAGAAGCAGCTGCTTGTTTCAGTGAAAATACAGTGATTTTTTTTCACTAATAAAGTTGTGGAGTTGTAAAGTATTTTGTCTCACGTCAGTTATATCGTCAGGTATATCGTCAGTTATATCGTTATCACAAAGACTAATATTTTTGGCCATATAGCCCTGATTAAGATCACTAATGAAAAAGTCCCAGTGTACTTTCAACCAAAGGGCAAATAACCAAACCACACGAACATCTAATAAAATATATAAACATTGGTTGGTTTCATGTGCTTCAGATTCCCTGGACC